TCAGTCCCGCCGCCAGTCCCAGAAAATCTCTTTTAATGAAAAATTTTTCGCTGTTCCTTAGAATTTGTCCCGCACTAACTTCGTTTCCGGTGTAGCGGCGATGGGCTGTCGAAGCAACCAACCGTGGCTCGTGAATGACTCTATCTGCAGCCGCTGATTGGCTGGACTCCTGTTTTCGCTGAGTCAGCCGCGTTGAACCCTCAGCCAAGGTTGCCCTGGTTGCTGCTCAACCATCAGGTTCGCTCCATCCTCACGGTCTGCCCGCTGCCATCATGGATCTTTGAAGGTTATTCCTGGCCATCGCCTTCCTGCCGTTCGTCCCGACTCTTTTCCGTGCGGGAATCAGCGGAGATGGAGCAGTGGGAGCGGATATCTTGGAAGATCATGGATAGCCTTCCCCGACCGATATTACCCCGTCAAGAGGGATTGTGATTATTTTTACATACTTTCTACTACTTTGTAACATATGGGATGGGCTGCCAGCCAATCCCCTTTCAGATCATCGAGCCATTTGCAAGCATCATCAAGTTGCCCCTTTCTTTGACAGGGCTGAGAGGGTCTTGAGCACAGCCAGTTTCTGTACCACCCTTTCTCCCCCTTATTGTTACTTCTGAGGATACTTGGAACGTCGCAGAATCCTCCCTACCGTTGTCCATCCCAAGTCTGGGGAAATTATTGTCAGGCTTTCATCGCTTATGGCGGAGCGAACATCTTCACATGTGTATGCCAGCGTAGCAATGCTGTGAGGACAATTCAGTACTTAACTCTTCAGACTAGCCAGTCATCAATAGCCATTAGTTATTCATACCTTGAGCCGGTCCAGGCTGACGGGCGAAAACGGAGAACGATCTGGCTCCGGGCCATGGCTCTTGGTAACTCTAACTCAGTAGAGTTTTCATTATTATGATTTTTGTTATCCCTTTTCTGAAATCTTTCTGTCTCGAAGGGGGGCTGCGCCACTTCACCCCGGGAATGATCAGAGGTGGCGACCGGCATGAAAGCAGCAGCATCTGCAGGGCCAACCAAGCCATGATGACACGGAGGGGCGGAGACTAGCCGGCCGCAGTAGATTATTATCAGTCTATCTCTCAGGATGTTGCACCCCCGGATTCATGGCGTGTCAAGGACATTATCAAGGTATGTGCCAGCATGCAGCGCTATCATGATTTGAATGGTGGTTTGTCGATGCATTTTGTGGTTAGATGCAGGCAGGCCTGGGAAAATCCTGCCCGAAGCATAACCATGTTGTTAAGAAAAGGAGCATTATACTTTTGCGCCCGGAGATTGTTCCCCAGAGAGTCATGGATGCCTTATTATTGCCAAACACAAAGGGATAGGCGACTAAACACTCTCAGGCATAATTCCGGGGTTTAAGCGTCGCAAACACACGCCTGAAACAATGGCTCATTGCAGGAGTCGACGCATCACCGCCATTTGTCTGACTCAGGCTTTTCTGACCGCATTCAAATATAACTGGCTATATTTACTTTTCTTTACGTTATGTTGCCGATTGGCGTGTTGAGACCAAGTAACTTTACAGCCCTTCTTCAAAGTGACATCCAGGCCTGCCGCCTCAGCCAACCCGAGAACCGTGCCTTATGATGTGCACCGTCAGTCTTCAGAATACGGGGGCCCCCCTCTTATCGCTCTTATCGGTTATCGAATTTTGAGTTCAATTTTCTCCGGATCCCCTTCCATTTCTTATCCCCCGCGAAAATATCCAAATCTGTAGTGGCAACTTGCAACCAACCACGCTATTGCCACAACAATGGTGGAAGTAGGAACCTTCTTTGAACTCGTGAGCGCTATTCGCCCATGATGTGGGTCGACACGTTGTTTTTCTACCGACACCTCGCAGTCTCTACAGTGCACATCCAATACTCTTCTCCTTTCTTCATGAAATGGCAAAGTAACCTTAAAAGTATTTGGCAGACACAAATTGTCTCTCTACCTTCACTAACCATCATGGTTATCTCATGATGAGTCATTAGTAACCATTACTAACTTTGGGTGTTGCCCCGGGTGTTAACCTTCAGCGCCCTTGGTAGAGGGAATTACTTCTTACTATATTCTGGACATCAATCTAGACCTGCTATCAGACAATTGCGTCGCGTCTGTCTTACCGTAGCACTATAAGTAGAGAGAGCCACACAGATATAGTAATCATGCTCTCACCTGTCTCAGTCTACATCGATTTCAGGCTCCTGATGAAATTTAACCCGTGTTACCTGCTTGGGACGTAGCGTGCGTGATTCCCGCCTCAGAACTGCGTCAGGAATGTTGACGAAGCGCAAGAACTATACTTACACAGGTCTGGCCTTTGACCGACTCATGCCGTCCCATGCTGTCATGGCTTGAAGTTATCTACGTGATACAATTAGGGCATGGCGAGGACACATGACGACGTTTCTCGATATGTCGTGATCTAGTACCAATATACCATAAATCCCGAGTCCAACTGACGAGACCCGTTCATTGTAGTTAGTCATTGCACTTGATGAAGATAATCGTACGGTCGCAGTATAACGCGTTATTTTGCCGAGGATGTATGTCTACTTAGATACGAGGAAATATCAAGAGATCGAGACATTTGCTAACTGAATGATATGGGTTGTTCGATCGATTCGTGTGGTGGTATGATGATAACTGCTCAGGACAGCATTGGAATATATAGCAAAATTTAGAAGGCTCAGATATGAACAGCATCATTGGTCTAGTGGTAGAATTCATCGTTGCCATCGATGAGGCCCGTGTTCGATTCACGGATGATGCATTTCGAATTTCTTTTTTCCCCTTTCTATATTTGCCTCCGCCAACTGACCTCTGCGACGATGTCATGATGGTGTAGCTTTTCCCTTCATTGTTACACTGGAACGTATGAGACACTACTACATACTCACCTTTCTATCATTACATGTCAAGGCGAAGGGGCAAATGCATTTGATCTATCTGCTCTCAAGAGATTGGGTTGGACAGCTGGAAAAGGTAGCCGATCCTGGCTGGAGTGAATGTATCAACATTACATAGTCATTCTCCGTATAATGCCATATAGAATATTCTGCCATTGTGGACTGACTATCGACTGGACAATTTGGTTTACGTATACAATAAAATGTGCCCTACCACTAATAACGAACATAAACGACGAAGAATGGGGTGGATGCGGCTCGCAGGCAGCAGGCAGAGGCTAGCCCGGGATAGCTGGCCAGCTGCGCCACTCATTTATATCTGCTTTTGTATGAATTTGCTTTGCTTGCTTTTATGATTTCCTGTGATTTAGTTGTGTTTGCTACGGCCATGACTTTCCTACCTTGGGGCATGCGTTGCTTTGTGTGTTTACTGCGAATTTGAGGGGCTCGAGGGCGTTCCGGGCCATATCCTTTGCTTCAATCGGTGAAGCACCTGTATAGCTAGAAGACGGCTCGATCGGGTATAACAATTTGAATTGAATTGATTTGGAAACTGATAACAAACACCCGAGGGCGCATTCAATAAAAACCGAACATAGAAGGATAAAGGTGCGAACCACACGAAACTAATCGCCATCACTAGAGGAACTTGAACTCGAGCTTGAGCTGGAACTGGAGCTTGAACGACGGAAAGTCTTGCCATAGTGTTTCTTCTTATGCCTCTTGCGTCTGGGGAAAGCACATGTCAGCGTACGTATGCCAGCCATCATCACAGGCAGACTTGCAGTTTACTTGCGATTTCCATGCCTGCAGCGCCTGCCAATGCACCTCCTGCAACACCCAGCATCCCACCTCCCAGCTTGTGATCTAAAGCGCCCCCACTAATGATGCCGGCTACATTCGGTGCAAACCACTTTTTACCTCCGGATGTGTTTGTAGTAGGAACAGGCTCTGACTGCGTCTGATAGTAAGACACCTTCTGGCCTTGCTGATGCTGAGTCTGTGGTGGATAAGATGAGCTTTGCTCATAACTCATGGACGTGGGTTGCTCATGCCGATGTCCATCTGAATGCCTTGCGTCGTAGGAAGGTGCATAGCTTTGCTGATATTGTGCAGGATGACTGCCAGGGGATGTATTCACATATTGATTAATGGTAGGCTAACAAATTAGCTTGCTGCTATCTCCACGGATTATCTACGACCCATGAGGCATGCGCATACGGGATTGGCAATATTGGATAGACATACGGGAGCCTGAGTGTATGCGTACTGCGAAGGCTGTCCTTGCTGGTATTGCGCTGAAGGGTAATTGCCAGGAGTATCTCCGTAACTATATCCAGCAGCTTGCTGGCCATAGCAGTTCTGTGGGTCATCGTACTGGTTGTTGTAATGATATTGGCGGGATGAATCCGACATAATGGGTAGTATGGATATCGATGCTGTCGCCCAAAGGGCTTAAGAAGTGATGCAGCACGTAGTGCAATATGATCTAATGAGGCACACAAAATTGACGATGCTAAGAGGGAGAGGCTAGGTAGTCATGTGGTTGCCTCTTTGTCCCATTTACCATTGCACTTGCCGGTCTTACTAAGACTTACGTTGCTTCGTGACACAGACCTTTACGGCCTATACACAAAAAAGACAGGTATCCTCTGGCTTTGTGCGAAAAAGAATGAGTGATATGAAGAATTAGGGAGGATACTCACTTCTTTGGCTAGAATACCTGAAGGACGCTTCCTTGCAACGGAGTCCTTAACCTCATCACCGTTTTGCTTGTGAATTATCTGAAATTCACTTTGTTTTCAAGAACGCATCTCGCTACTCCCGTGTCGACTGTATGTCTCGTATCGATTACCATATTAATGACCGATGCCTGAATCCAAATATGGTAAATTGTATTGACAACCCTTCTTATATTCACTCACCTTGTGTGAAGCGTGACCAGACCCTTTTGGGATATCAGGGTATAGGGCCCACAATCTTCTATATAATTCTCCCTCGTCTTCTCCTTCTCTTTTCTTCTCTTCTCCTCTTCGCCATCTACAACCTGCCTTCCCCCCCATATCAAAATACGTAGTAAGTTATCTCATGATGGACTCTGACTCTGGTGATGAGCGAGAAGAGTGTCGATCTTCTGTTCTTCTCTCAAGACAATTACATACATTACTGACAATTTGCCAAAGACATTCCCGAGCCGCCGCTGCTGCTCCCACACCTCGCGGGCCCACTCGGGCACAGCTCGAGCGGTCTAAAGTAAGTTCTCTATATTAGAAGATTATGTCTGATTATGATTGATCTGATAACATACTGTTATGCCAGTAACCAGACTGCTTACACCAGCACAAAAGCTACGGAAGAAAGAGCTGCGCGATGAACTTCATAGATTGAAGTTGTTGGAGGATGAATATCGTGAAGAATACAACCGAAAAAAAGATGAATGGACTTCCTCGCACAAGGAGTTGGTAGACCAACTTGCCGCTCTCGATGAGTCATATAAGACCGAGATAGAGCCGGACGAGAAGCGATTGGCTGATGTCGAGGATGCTGGTGTAGTTATCCCAGAGGGGGTTTTACCCCCCACAAGGGACCTTACCGAAGGACAAAAGTTGAGGAAAAAGGAACTGAGAGAAGAGATTACCCGACTAAAAGAACTTGAGCGAGAACACCACGAAGCTCTTCAAATTAAGACGGAACAATGGGACACTGCTCGGAAAGCTTTAGTGGATGCTCTGGAACGCCATGACTCTGAACGCCAAGAGTCGTTTGCCCCTGACTACAAGTTATCGAAAGAGTTAGACGAGAAGATCAAGTCCGCTGTCTCGGAAATCAAGGGTCTCGTGTAAAAGACTGATACCGCCTTTTACATGATGGCTGGTTTTATGGGACTGAATTCGTGAATCGAATTATCCAGTGCAGAGTTAGTGCTCAATATGCCACGGGCACCTTCCCATTTGGGAGGGAGGTCTCGAGCACAACATCTTCTTCACCCGTTTTACTGCATGTACTTAGATCATCTTTGTTATCAGACACTTACAAACAACAAGACGCTTCTGCACGTTTCCAGGCAGCTGTCAGCTGATCCTTCGCCTCTTCTTCCTGCGTGGTCTCCGACCTTCACCTCTTCCAACCAACCAACCAACCACCCAGCCCCTTGAGATCTAGATAGATCAAATTCATATATATTTGACCCTTTGTCTTGACGATTGATTTGTCTGCAAGTTCTTGAAGAGGATGTAGACGCCTTCGACGTAGCTAGAGAAATGTTCCCTCATATTTTTATCGAGCAATGTGCCGTCATCGTTCGATGGCAATTGCAAATCAAATGTCATTGTTATACGGGCAACAGTTGTCCTCATGTTCATGAGTGCTAGCGGCTTGCCGATGCATGCGTAGGGGCCTTGAAATAGTCAGATTCGCATTTACAGGCGTGATCAGAATAGGCAGACGCGCTAGGCTTCCTCCACACCGGCCTTCGCTCATGCCACACCCTCCGCCTATCTTATAAGGTAAGATCCCATCCATTTAAGACATAGCCTCTTCGATCTGTTTTACTGCTTTCCCAACCTGGGGAAATTCTATTACTTGAGATACCGAATCCATGCATCAGGAACAAAAGTCCTAAGAGTAGCAGGTGGTAGGATCCTGCCTTTTCTAGGGCCCAAGCCTTACCTTACATGGATGGGATCTTACCTTATAAGATAGGCGGAGGGTGTAGTATGAGCGAAGGCCGGTGTGGAGGAAGCCTAACTGGTGTGGCGGTAGCGCCTCCTCCCTCAGAATATTGGCAGATTCAGCAACAAAGATATAACTCACCGAGTAAGAAAGGAGCATAGGCAGATTTATACTTCATCGCCTCAGGGTATTTGTACCACCTCTCAGGAAGGAACCGATTTGCATTCTCGTAGAAGACATCGGCTAGAAAGGTGAGCATTTGCTTTGTCAGACCGAGGGAATATATTGTTCACTTACATCTTCCAATAACCCATTGCGGGCAAGAGACTGTCATGTTTCCTGGTATGTAGGTGCCACCGATCATGATACCCTCCGGTGGTGTCTTTCTAGGAATAATGCTTCCAATTGGAGGATGTAGACGGAGCACCTCGTTGATAAACCCATTAAGATGTCTTAAGCCTGCTATTTTCTCGTGCGTATACTCCCCGCCAGGCTCGACAGCACATAGGCTTAGCTCCTCGCGGATCATCTTTACGTGGACTGGGTGTTTAGCCAGCTCGTAGATGACGGTGATTAGAGCTGCTGCAGTAGTGTCACTATCGTTCACTTGTGAGCCCGTATTGCTAAAAAGAATAAATTCGAAGAGCTGCATACCTCCCTGCTGCAATTATCAATTCAACATCCCCAAGTAACTGATAGAACTCTTTATTTGTAGGTACTCGTCCTTGCAACTCCACGAGCAGCGACGAGCTGATATCGGGTATTTCGGGCGTTTCCTAAATCCATAAGCAATTTATCCGAGCATAAAACAGCAGAAAAGCCTCAAAGACAATACCCTCATTCTCGTCTTCAAGCGCTGATGGCTAAACTCCTCATATCTCAAAGCATCCTTGTTCATCCCCGGTATCGAGCCCAGCAGCCGAAGGGCCCAAATAGGCACGGAGTATTCCAACGGTTTGAGCATATCATTCAATATCTGTATTGCCCAGTGGTTGGCACTGGCATCTAACATGCCGAAAGTTCTACCGAAAGCTAAGTCGCCCATCACATCGTAGCTGTACCATGTGAGATAATTGCTGATGTTAAGAGCTTGACCATCACCGGCTGATGTTAAGAGATTGATCAGCTTTTCTCGGTAGACTTGAATGCGTTTTTCGTATGCTCGAAGTGATTTATCGCTGAAGCCTAGACTCCATACTCTCCGTCGTTGGTCATGAGATTCCCTGTTCCGATGTGCATGTAGCGATTGCACTGGTGCACCGAGATCATAGAAGGGCGCTTTAGTGCAGGCGGACTTGAATCCATAGATGATATTTACGGCATCGGGGTGGATTATGGAGAGATCAGATGGGCCTATGCGCACAAATTGTCCGTACTCCTTATGCAGCTCTTCGAGGACCTGATAGAGGGGTTGGTGAAGAAGCTTTGCTGGTAGCCAGAACCCAGATAGACGTGCACCTAGGGGGCCGGGAAACCGTCCCAACGGATGAAGAAACACCCTGTAAATGATGAGGCTGCAGTATAGGCCCAGCAGATGTGTAGATATTAGGCTCAAAGATGCGGTGCTTGCTCGAATAAAAGAGGTTTTTTGTGCATAATGACTCGTTGCAGCAACTAGTATCGACAAGCCACCATACGTGTAGAGATACCGAATCGGATAGAGATGGTGTTCGCCAGAGCGGAAGTAGAGGCTGTGAGCTAGCACGCCTAGAATAAATGCTCCAGCTTGTAGCTGTAGTCCGCTTTCCATCTTCACGACCACAGGGTTGAAGCCAAACTTGTGAACGAGAAGGGCATTAGTGATGTCAGAGATTGCTAGAGAGCGACATTTAATCCAACAAGGGCTTGCAACAATGAAGTTGTATCTATGCTGCCTAGTGTTTCTGATGAGTTCGATCGGTGGTACAACCAATGCCAATCTGATGTCGACTTACCCAAATCCTTGAATGGTCTTTTCGAGTGTGCGGCAATATTGTCCATCTGCTCTCACAGTCGCATGAAGCGGAGAAACCCGAGCAGGACATGTATGGGCCCTGAATCTGGGATTCCTTTTTCGCAGTTATTCTATCGTTTCCTGCAATCTTAGACGCCGGTCCTGGAGTACCTTAAGCGGGCTAGTACCCACCCTTGACATCGCCTGAACTGGTACTATGCTTGTGACATATAGCAGGTTGAGCTTTTCAATCGCCAGTTATTTAAGGTCGTACGATGTTCCTGGTAGGTGTCACATCTGTCCAATCTTTGTGTGTTGTAAACCCATCTGCACACCAGCCCCCTCTTATTTTAAGGGGATTAAATAGGCCCTGAAGATTTCTTCTCCAAAATAAACAGTAAAGGAGTATATTCTGCGCCTACCGAAGAGTATCTCTATGGCCAAACATTAAGTCTTTTCAAGCACCTCATGTTTTCTTGGAACACGATTCGCTCTAAACCAGAGTCTCTCAGCGCCAACGCGCTCCACAAACTTCAGGCAGTAACACCGGAGTTCGGAAAATCTACTACCTGCAGTGGAGTGTTAGGAAATTCAAAGAGCGTTGCATATCTGAATGGTTACACAGGTATCGGCTTTGTGCCCGCCTTCTTGTGCCTTTCCGTTTAGAATGCATATATGCCCGCAGTACAGACAAGTACGACACTCCTCAACCTCGTTCGGAGTGGAAACGGTGGAATCCTTGATCATACTGCCTTCTGTATAAGGGCAATACACTCACCTCTTGGACCAGCAGATCTGCGAGCATCATCACTCCGAGAGATAGTTGAAACCAAAATGGCCTCACCTTTCCTGAGGGACGAAGCCTCATCTCATCCAAAAGGTATGGAGGCATCACCACCTGACGATTTACCTGAAAATCAGAAGGCGGACGCTGGCACCGACGCCCAGTCAACCCACAAACCATGGGATATCATCGTGAAATACCAAACGTCAACCAATGGCGCCGAATCGTCCTGGTGGCGGAACATTGGCCCACTCCTTGGTCGGCTGCTGCAAATAACAGGCTACTCTGTGCCTATGCAATTCGAATATCTACTCTTCGCGCGGAATCACATTGTCCCCGCTCTCGGACCGTATCCGCAGCGCTGGCCAAGCGTTATGACCTATACCGATCTGCCGATTGAGATGAGCGTTAATTTTCAGGATCACCATGCATCGACTGTTCGTGTGGGCATTGAGCCGATCTGTGAGTTCGCGGGAACATCCAACGATCGATTCAATCAGACTGCTACGGAGCGGTTGGTTGGTCGACTGTCTAAATTGGGAGGACTTGACCGCATGCTGTACCATCATTTTGTTAGGGATTTTGGGATCACTGAGATGGAAACATTGAAGGTGAAACAAGGGGAGTTTAAGAGGGACTCAGTGCAGTCGATGTATAATATAGGGTTCACCTTTGAGAGGGTTGGGGCAGCTAGTGTGGATACGAAGGGGTATGTTTTTCTCAGACTGAAGGAGAAGGCATCTGGCTTGCCTATGCAACGATTACTCCGTGATTCGTTGAACCAGCTGAATGTGACGGCAGAGAGAAGAGACAGTGAGGCAGTTCAGAAGGTGATTGTGTACATGGAGGAAGGCGGGGGATTCAATGAGTACACATACCTGGCTTGGGACTTTGTCGATTCGGCCAAGTCCCGAATCAAGGTTTACGGGGTACTTGGAGATTTAAGGATGGAAAAGGTTAAGGAGGTATGGACCATGGGTGGAAGGCTGAAGGATTCGGCTACGACGCAAGGCCTGGAGTTGGTCCGACGGCTATGGGAATTGCTGGAGGGCAACGGTCAACAAGGACAACATCCTTCTAAGGCGCCAATACTGATGTGGAACTATGAGATCCGACCGGGCCGCGACGAGCCCATCCCGAAGCTGTACCTCCCTCTTCTTGGGAGGAACGACATGTTCGTGGCCAAGACGCTGGCGCGCTTCTTTGACTCGCTCGGATGGGCGGACGAGGCTCGGAGCTATGTGGCTAACGTGCAGTATCTGTTGTGAGTTCTGCCCTTTCCCGATTACAATTATTCCGACTGACGTTGATGACAGCCCGGATGATGACCTCGAGCAGTCTGCCCGGCTTCACTCGTGGGTGTCACTAGCGTATACCAGCCAGGCGGGGGTCTACGTGAGTGTGTACTATCACTCCAGCCTGGCCTAGAATCGAGTCTTGGAATCATCATCATGAACATCGCACAAGGGTATTACTATGAACTGAACTATTGCATAAACAAAATCGTACGCGTAAGTGACCATCCGGCGGACATCTAGGCGTTCTGTGCGACCACCACACCGGTGAGTCAAAGCAGGGTTAGGACCCCAGAGAGGGATATAGGCTACTTCCTAAGTAAGACGGTGGCCAATTTCTTTTCCACTCGGCGGGGATTGGCTACCGTCCGGCTATCGTGCGGTACCAGCTGACCAGAGCCGAGATGGGGACAGATTCACCCCATGGGACCCCCGCGGAGCTGAGAAGCGATGGATAAGACAGGTAGCATGGGAGGGAAGGAAGAAAAAATTGTAATCCGGCCAACGAGGGAGGGGCGCTCGGACAAAATCCGCGCGCAGAAGGATTCTTGGGATGGAACGAACTGGGTCTCGTGTCCGGGCCGAGAACCATTGATTCGTTGGGAGAAAAACCTGGCGAGCAAGTTGGTGGCTGACGGGATGCCAGTGGGAGAGTAAAAAGTTTACTAGGCGAGTTGGTAGTCTGGGACTAGATAGAACTAGATAGAACTAAGGGTAAAGGATAGCTCGGGGTTTTACCCCGCGATGGAGCCACGCACGGCCGGGGGTTGAGGGTTTGGGTTGTTCGCTTACCCCGGCGGCCATTGGCGGTCTGGAATTGATTTAGAGTTGATGGGACCCTGTGCAGCCATTATATTGCGGCGTAAAAAACAGGAGGTAGAACAGAGAATACCATGGAGACTTTTTCATAGATGGAAGCCCAGATCTGGGGAAGAAACAAGAAGAGGGAGAAAGAGACAAGCCGCGACAAGGCGGGCTTGGCTGGTGGAGTTGGAGCTGGAGAGCCGCTTGGCAGTAAATCTGGGGAAATCTTGGCGGGGGAAACACACACACACACACACACAAAAAGAGAGTTATAACACTCTTTCACAAAAAGGAATAAAGGCAGTAGGCTCTCAGATCACTCGATGACATCAGATGAGCAATTGACATGGCGAACGATGTGTCGAAAAATAAATAAAGTGCTCATACAAACGAAGACAAAGGAACAACAAGCAGTGCTAGAGCGTGATGATAACATCCGGCCTGACTAAGGAAATCCCCTGGTCATTTACCATTTGCCCAGAAACTCTGGTTGAGGGGCGGCGTTAAGCTTTCCAACCTCTCTCGTTGCTTTCTGTTCCTCTCTAGCTTTCCAAAGCTTCCCCAGATGACTTGACGGGACCCATCTGTTCCGGAAGATGCATCTTCCTCCTGCTCGTCATGGGAGGGATCGGCATCTGTCCGGCCATGCTCACCGTCGTCGGCTTTCTGTTCCAATTTCACGGGCTTCGTCCTTCTGCCCGATAATCGGGGCATAAAAGCCTGCTCCCCGCCAGTCATGGCTTGTTCGTTTCTTTTTTTTTTTCTCCGACCAGGCCATCCCTTTCTCTTCCTTACCCAACCGCGCAGCGCTCGTAGACGCGCTCTCGCCGTGGTTCTTTTCCTCCCTTCTTCCACCATGTCCCACTACTACGAAGGGGACAAACCCTCGACGGGGGTGCCCGTTCCCGTCCAGCTGTCAGCTGCTGACGAGGATGAGCAGCCCACGATGAGTCCCATCAAGTACATGACCACTCGTCTTACAACCTTGGTGCCTCCTATGAACCCAGCTCCCAATCCATTCAAAGCGCTCATGCTCCTCAATCGGAAGCAATGGCTCTTTTTTGGGGTATGTTTCATCCCAAACCTCAAACGCCGGACACTCTTCTTGCGCCATGACTAACCGCGGTTCTAGGTTGCTTTTGCCGGCTGGACTTGGGATGCCTTCGATTTCTTCACCGTGTCCTTGACTGCCACCGATCTTGCAAAGACATTCGACAAATCCGTCACCGACATCACCTGGGGCATCACCTTGGTGCTGATGCTCCGCTCCGTGGGCGCCATTACCTTTGGAGTCGCTGCCGATCGCTGGGGTCGCAAGTGGCCCTTTATCGTTAATAACCTCTTGTTTGTCGTATTGGAACTGGGTACGGGTTTCTGTCAGACCTACAAACAATTTTTGGCTTGTCGCGCTCTCTTTGGAATCGCCATGGGTGGGTTGTACGGCAATGCCGCGGCGACCGCGCTCGAGGACTGTCCCATGGAGGCGCGCGGTATCGTGTCTGGCTTGCTGCAGCAGGGATATGCGTTTGGATACTTGCTGGCTACCGCATTTGCACGCGGCCTAGTCAATACCACCTCTCATGGGTGGCGACCGCTCTACTGGTTTGGGGCCTGTCCGCCCGTGCTAATCATCATCTACCGGATGTTCCTGCCGGAGACCGATACTTTCCTTCAGCGCCAGGCCACTCGAGAGCATGTTCGCGGTGGAGTGACTACAACATTCTTGTCCGAGGGTAATACGGCCTTGAAGAGACATTGGCTGCTTCTGATCTATCTGGTCTTGCTCATGGCTGGCTTCAACTTCATGGTACGTTTGGATGCATACTCTTACTCAATTTAGTCTATTCAGCATCACTAACCAAACCCCAGTCTCACGGCTCCCAAGATCTCTACCCAACCATGCTTGAAAACCAATTCAACTTCTCCGCCGATGCCGTTACTGTTACCCAGGTCGTCGCCAACCTCGGCGCCCTGACCGGAGGTACTACGTGCGGCTGGGCCAGTCAGATCTTTGGTCGCCGCTTCTCCATCGTCTTCATTTGCATTATTGGCGGCGCGCTCCTCTACCCCTACACTTTTGTCACGAACCACAGCGTTATGGCCGCTGCCTTCTTTGAACAATTCTGCGTGCAAGGCGCATGGGGTGTCATCCCCATCCACCTGATGGAGCTGTCGCCGGGTGCTATCCGCACCTTCGCGGTGGGTACGGCCTACCAGCTGGGCAACCTCGTCTCGTCGGCTAGTTCGACGATCGAGTCCACGATCGGGGAACGGTTTCCCTTGCCCCCCACAGAGGAGGGTACCAAGCGGTACCAGTATGGCAAGGTCATTTGTATCTTTATGGGCTGTGTGTATGGATATACGATCTTGGTGACGCTGATCGGCCCCGAGCGCCTAGGTCGCAAGTTTGATGTCGCGCATGATGGTGATATGGCGGTCGTGGCGGCACAACGGGGAACGGATGGGGAGGTGGAGGTAGAGGGTGATCCAGAGAAGGGCACGTCGAGGATGGTGGAGGGTTGATTCGATCTGTTGATTAGCTGTACTGCTGATGATGTTATGATGTGATGAGAAGAGTGATATTCATTATGTTATATAGCCGATCGCAATGCATGAGATTATACGCTATGTTTGTTGGCTTAGTACATTGTTTGACTGCGTCCCGAGATGTCTCACTCCACCTGGCCCAACATCCTATCGCGTTGTAGAGTCTATGACACAGAACAGATCAGTGGAGATGTCGCAGATACCTAAATCATGGTAATCGATATCATTAGTCCAGGCACTGGTACAATCACAACCGATGTTGATTGTAGAAGAAGTAAGAAAGACATCAGAATCTGCTTAATAATCGATGCTCATCAATCCCCTTTGGGACCGATCACCGGGTTCAAGATGGAGGCTCATCATTGTAATCATCTCTTATTGAGTGGCAAAGAAAGCTTTAACTTACTAAACTATAGATAATGTTGATGGCAGGAAGTAAGCAAAAATGTTCGAATAGTGGTCTTTTCCCCTGGGGCACACAGACCCTTTTATACAGCCAGCCGGTCAGGAGATTCTTCCTTAGGCAACCAACCAGCCAACCCCGCACGGATTGGAACTAAACTGCATTCATTCCAATGCAGTGAACCGGGATGCTGACAGACAGTCCTGTAATGCACGTTGGAAATATACTTTCTACTCGTAGGAAACCATGACCAACGAATTATTTGTATAGAATACCAGTAGGAATAGCTAGTTGTTTGAGTTTAGATCGAGATCAAAGGAAAAATGGATCCACTTTCGGACATTGGCATCGCAATCTCGTGGAGCGGAGATCGGCGACGCTCTTTTCTCAGGGTCTGATTGATTCATGACCTTAATTTGAGTTGGCTGATGGAGTGCTGAGCTTATGGTTCATGGTTCTTACCAACATGTTGATGGCTGTCATTATTCAGTGCGGAGATGGAGGGATTCCATGGATGAATTGTACTCTATGTGCCCTCCCCTTCTGTCTCTGACCTCAATCAGTTTAATTTCCTGGTGGATGTATCCTGACGGTACTACCTCGGGGTTTCGAACATCGTCACCTCATCTTTCTCTTTTTCGCCCCTACCCACCGTTTCTATTTGCAATGCAGATGCATTAGATACCATATATCCAGACTCGAATTGTTTGCAGTTCCACCTCACGAGTCAAGAAAGAATTGAGATCGTCACCCCGACACAAAGAGCTAGGGCAGCAAAAGAGAGACGCCGACCAGAACCGCCAAGCCCCGGACCGGGACTGGCGCTGCTCTCTCTTTCCCTTACAACTTTCATTTCACTTGCTCGTCTTCGTTTGCTACGCTCTTCGCTCCTCCTCCTCCGTTTCGGGCTTCATCTTTCCCTCCCTCTCCTTTCGACCTCCTCTCCCCTTCGGTAGTTTCGGGTTTACTTTTCTTTCCTTTCTTTGGGATCTCTCCGTCCTCCTCATCTTTTCCCGGTCGGCCACTCCCTCGTTCGTCCGCCATCCAAACCCCCCGACTGCAAGGGTCCGGTTTCAACGCCCACAGGAGGTAGAGGGAAGACCGCAAAGAAGACGACGAGCAGCTTCAATCTCCAACGCGACTAATATATCTCTCCTGCATTTGGTCCGACCGGCAGCTGCAAACCCTCATTCGCTCAATTCCTCGCGATCCGATCCGTTGGCGCATTCCAGCCTTTTCTTCAGGGTCCAACAAGCAGCCGTGATCCCCTTGCCGCCTGGCTGCTCCTCCTTCCCCCCCCCACAGATTCCTTACGATCCTACCCTTTTCCCCCGAGACACCACCACCACCGCCTTCTCCTCCTCCTCCCCTTCTGCCTCCGAACACGACTCTTCCCCCCAATACGTGCTGGATGAGTATCTCGATCGCCGCCTCTTCCAATGCACAGACGTTCGTCTGGCTCGCCAGCCGAGGACGACGCTGAAGAATCCCTGGCCCCCGTCTCCCGCACCCCGACAGACCCGAGTCCTGCGCCTCAAGTCCTCGATCCGCCGGAAAAATCGCGTCCGCAGGCCGCTGCCAGGACCGGCACCAGCTTCGATCTTCGTCGAGATGCCTCCAACCCGCGTTCCCGAAATTCTAGCCTTTGGCGCACTTCCTCCTCCACCGAATCCCGCTCCTCCGCCGTTATGATGCCGCTGGCTTCCCAGCGATTGCCCATGGAAGCCTCCCCGGACGGTCACCTCCGCTTTCGACCGTCGCGCCTCCGCAGTCCCTGGCCCGTTTCCATCCTGACCGCGCTCACCACCCTGGTCGCCTCGATATTTCTCTTCTTCATCCTCCGGTCCTTCTCCGAACGGCAAATTGGCGGCGATGGCTGTGGAATTCCCGTCATGAGTCCCACCTTCCTTCGCATGGTGGGTTTCGATACGGAACATACCCGGTTTGCGAGCAAGTATAATCTGTTCCTCTATCGGGAGGAGGGTGTCGACCCGTACAACCAGGAGAACTTGGGCGTAAGTACCTGGCCAATGATTGTGCCGCGTGGCTGTGGCGTTTCCTCCCCGATCGCAGGCTGACTGTGTATTCTGCTACATCCAGTTAAACGGTGCCCCTGTCCTCTTCCTCCCCGGAAATGCCGGCAGCTATCGACAAGTTCGCTCCCTGGCTGCCGAAGCTTCGAGACACTATGCCGACGTCGTCCGACATGATGAGGAGCGGCTTAAATCAGGTACCCGCAGCTTAGACTTTTTCATGATCGACTTCAACGAAGACCTGGCGGCCTTCCATGGCCAGACACTACTCGATCAAGCGGAATATGTCAACGAAGCCGTGTCATACATCCTCTCGCTCTACCATGATCCGCGACGGTCGCGGAGGGACCCTGGCCTTCCCGACCCCAGCGCGGTGATTTTAGTTGGGCATTCCATGGGAGGCATTGTCGCACGCACGGCGTTAACAATGACGAATTACCAGGCAAACTCGGTCAACACGATTGTCACCATGTCTGCACCGCACGCAAAGCCCCCGGTTTCGTTCGAATCGGACATCGTTCATACGTACAAGCAAATCAACGATTACTGGCGGGATGCCTACTCCCAGACCTGGGCGAACAATAACCCACTGTGGCACCTTACGCTGATCTCGATCGCGGGTGGTTCGCGCGATACGGTGGTTCCGTCGGACTACGCTAGTATCTCGTCGCTGGTTCCGGACACGCACGGCTTCACGGTCTTCACATCGACGATCCCTGATGTCTGGATCGGTATGGACCATCTGTCGATTACGTGGTGTGACCAGTTTCGCAAGGCAATCATCAAGTCGTTGTTCGACGTGGTGGATGTCCGTCGGGCCAGCCAGACAAAGCCCAGGGCCGAGCGCATGCGGATCTTCAAGAAATGGTATTTGACTGGATTAGAGCCGACCGCTGAAAGAACGCTCCCACAGAAAGGTGCGTATGCGATAGCACTCGTCGATACTGTTGACTAACTGTTATTAGAACCATCTACATTATTGACGCTGGAAGATAGCACCAACATCATCCTGCCGCAAGGCCAGCGACTAATTCTTCACGAGCTCGGCCACAGCCCGAATACCAACGTCCACCTGCTTCCCGTTCCGCCGCAGGGTGTGTCCGGGAAGAAGTTTACTCTTCTTACAGATCAGAAATTAGACAACCCCGGAGAGCAGGGGACATTGGAGGTTCTCTTCTGCAGTGTCTTCCCGTTGCACAACGGCAAGTTTGCCAGCATTTTCTCGATGAACATGGACTTTTCCGGGAGCAGCGCCGGCTCGACGCGCCTGGCTTGCAAGAACGCTGCGGAGGATGGCATACACCTACCAGCGTCGACGAGGACCTCGAAGCAAGCGTATGACCGGACCTCTCCTTTCTCGTATCTCCAGTACGATCTGGAGGATTTGGTCGAGCACCAGTTTGTGGCAGTGGTCGACAAAGCGCGGTCTCCAACTCGCGGCTGGGTGGTGGCGGAGTTCTCCGACAGCTCTGACTCGGTCATCCGAGCTCGTGTGGGCTTGGGCGGCTTGCTCAGTGCTGGACTGAAGATGAGACTTCCGGCGAACCGCCCAATGCTCACCGAGGTGAGAATTCCGGCGCTGCATTCGAGTTTGTTGAATTACAAGCTTAAGATCGTCCGCCGGGGTTACGGAGAACAGCCCGAGCTGTTTGCACCGCTTTTGCGCCAGTCGATCCCTGATCCCCACGAGTCCAAGTTCTTTGTCAATGTGAAGCAGGTCAATGTCAATCTCCACGGTGTCGCTCCGTTCATGCCTCCGCCTCTTCGTGAGCAAGCCACCCTGGGTGGAGTGTCTTTCCATTTGTGGACAGATCCGAGCAGCGAGTCAACGGTTGACATCTCTCTGTCGGTGGACGTCCTGGGTAGTCTAGGTGAGCTCGTGATGCGGTACCGCACCGTTTTTGCTGCCTTTCCGATTCTGGTTATTGCTTTGGTTCTGCGCAAGCAGTTTCAGGTCTATGACGAGACGGGTTATTTCATCACCTTCGCAGAGGGGTTGGATAGCACACTGCGGTCGTCTTTGCCTATTTTACTGCTCGCCATGTCGTTGCTGGCTTCTTCCCTGGCTACGTCGACTACGCTGCCTCCAAGCGATGATCCATTTCATTGGCGCACCAACTCCACGGAGTCGCCCATTGATTTTACGAAGAATGACCTACTGTTGGGATCGCAGGATGCATTCTTTTGGTTCTTGGTTCCTGTGTTCGGTCTGATCAGTGTGGGCGTGTGCGTGATGATGAATTATGTGGCTCTGTCCCTGCTGTCGGTTTTGTCTTTCTTCTATGGTCTGTTGAACAGCAAGTCGGGGTATATCAAGCGTGATGACAAGGGGTGAGTTATCCTCTATGATTTTGCATGCACAATGCTAACCATATCAGCAACCTTCCCATCTTTTCGGCCCCTACGCCCAGACGGCGGTTGATTAACACCGCTATTCTGCTGATTCTTGTTGCGACTACTATCCCGTATCAGTTTGCCTATATGGTGGCGTGCATTGTGCAGCTCGCTACTTGCGTGCGAGCCCAATGGCATGCGAAAGAGACGGTATGCATACTTGCATTGTTGACTTGCGTTTGCTAATAATCACAGAAATCTACGACTCATTATAATTTCGCCAATCTTACATACTCGATCTTTCTCCTGATGCTGTGGATCCTGCCGATCAACATCCTAGTCCTGCTCGTGTGGGCACATAACCTTGTGGTGCATTGGTTCATGCCATTCTCCTCCCACCACAATGTGCTGTCAATCATGCCGTTTATCCTGCTCGTTGAGGCCATGACGACAGGAACGATGGTCCCTCGAGTCAGCTCACGGTATGCTCCTTCAATACTAGTATAATCTCAAAACTAACTGAACAGGCTAAAAAACGTCACCTCCCTCATTCTCTTCGCCCTTGCCATCTACTCCGCAGTCTACGGCGTCTCCTACGGCTACCTTCTCCATCACCTTACTAATCTATTCGCCGCCTGGCTCGTGGGCATATACCTCTTCAGCAGCGGCTTCTCACCCCGCCGACTTTGGCGCATCCTAGAAGGCGACGACGCGAACTCCTCGGCCGAACCAGGGAGTAGTCACATGAAGAAAAAACCATAATTCTACTACACCATACATATCTTATCCTTTATTCTTCTATTATATGTCCCGTTGCATCTTACCGGTTGCGGACCATGATTAACGGCGTTTTGCTATTTTTGGAAGCGGCGTTTGCTTTTTGTTTTCTGACCGTGGGTCGATGTACAGGATTGTGCTTGTTATGTGCTCATATGAATGGTTCTATATTACATCGTGTTTGAGTGATCCTGACGGAAGTTGGGATCTGTGATGGCGGATGGATGTATCTTATTAGCTTTGTGTGTGTTGTTGATACTGTCCGAGAGTGTGTTTGTATATACGGTTGGATCTGGAAATAGACTTTGGCCGGGTAATAGTGACGAGAGATGGTGTTGCTGTTCATATTTTCACACTATCGTTGATGTAGACGACATCTATAGCTTAGAATAGCTGCACCTCGTGCCTCTTCAGTTGAGTGCCTTGATCATCCTACGTTATATCCAAGCCACATTAGACATGACGCAGCATGTTCCGAAGTAGGATCTACCTTGCTGACCACTTCACGGGCATCTACCACGAGACAAGACTGATTCCAAATCGAGCTGCTAAACCTGGTCAGATACAGTAATACATTGAACTCATAGAAGACACGCGTCCGAGCCAAGAAGAGATTTAGTTGTCACCAGATACGATACAGTCCAAGATAGCCCTGGTTTCTGTATTCCAATCTCGACTTCTGCGCATGCAGAGCTTGTCAGCTTCCATATATTCTGGTCTCTAATCACGAATATAATTCATATAAGATCCGATTCACATCTCTTAAAGCTATACATGTACTTAATAGTGAATAAATCTGTTAAGACATTTACTACAGCTAGACAGCTGTCAGCTGATCCTTCGCCTCTTCTTTTTGCATGGTCTCCGACTACCACCTCTTCCAACTAACCAACCCCTTGAGATCTAGATAGATCTCATCGATATATCTTTGACCCTTCGTCTTGGAAACATCTCCCCCCGAGGCCCCCGAAACATAAGGAACAAGCCAAAATGCTCATCTTCCTCGGCAAACTTACCTACCCGCCGTACGCCACGAACGAACTCTTCGCCGTCATCTTCAGCAACAACATGCAACAAGGTGAAAAGGTAGCCGTCGTTCACCAATGGACTAAGGATGCGGCCGGACAGGCAAAAGCCAATTCTTTTGCGCAAGGGACTGTCGATAAGGCGGTTATTACGTCGACGGGGGAGAAGGAGATTGAGTTCTTTTATGGGGATCGGGAGACGACTTATTACTGGTACTTGCCTTACTCCTTCTTTCCCCTTTCTATAGGAGTATTGGTTTCGGAGTAGATGAGTGAGTGCTAATATGTGGGGTTGTCTGTAGGTATAAAGGCACCCAATCCGGGAGTAAATTGACATTGTCGATGTTCAACAAGAGCGGAGAGGAAGTGGTCAAGAAGATTGAGCTCCTGGCGACGTATTATTGATCATGATCTAGTATTCTGCCTTCGTTGTGAAATTCATAGTTCATACATCATAATGTTACTTGCATTGGATAGAAAGGAAACAGAACTCATCAAGAAGCAGTCTATGAGCTATGATCCTTCCACTTCCACCTTCCATATCCATGATATATATTAGATTCCTTGCTGTTATTGTTTTGAGTTACTTCTACTTGCGAATACCCCACTAGGGCCCATGGAACCCTCAAACGCATGCATTTGATATACATACTTAGATTGAAGTAGGTATTACTAAGGGCAAAGTTGGTGTGCTTAGTACAAGTCTGGATTAACCTAGGCTTCCATAATCCTGGCAAGCCAAGAATGCAAACACGCGGGTAAACATGCGCGGAAGACACCTGTGAAAGGTGGTGCTGACAACTCAAAGGCAAATGAACTTTCCAAATTACAAACCTTCAGCGTCAGGCATAGAGCGATCTCCGGACGAGTTCATGATACTAGAATGAGCCGAAAAGGATTCTGCCTGGCAAAACCCGCATATCAGGAATAGAAGTTTCTGTTCGATCAGTCTAGAGTGACTCAACCTTCCAGACGTTTGAATGCCCAATAAGTTGCCTTGATCAAACGAAGCGCTGGGGTTGGGGAGACACAGCTGTATGGGCACATGTCCTGAGCGTTTGTGTATGATTTCAGCAAGTCAACGAGCTCGTGCAGCAGAGAAAAGAGCTGATGTAGCAGAGGCAAGTGCTGACACAGCAATCCAAAAGGCCCACGCAGTCATACAAAGTGCCGAAGAAGACAAGCGACGGGCTCAGGAATATGAGAAGAAAGCACGGAAAGAATTGGAACAGTTAAGAGAGGAATTGGAGGTAGAGAGGGAACGATCGAGACGTACGACATTTGGCGAACTCCTTCAGTACTGCCATACCATATTTTCAGCACCCCTTGGAGTCGAAAAGCTCACTAGCTGCACAGAGGTAGAGACCCTGCAGTCCAAAGGAAAATTTTGCCCCTTGAAGCTCGAGCTATGGGAAAGCTGTGATACCGAGCAAGAAAAGATCTACCGGGCTGTTCGTATGTGCCTTGAGCCGCCAGGGAGTGCTGCGTTCAGGCTCTTCACATCTCGTCTTGGTTTGAAAAGCATGGGCGAATATTTTGACAGGCCAATAAGCAGTGAACGAGATGTGGCAGCTCTTGGACAGTTTACCGTGGAGAGCCAAGTCCAGAAGATTCTTGCGGAGTTCTGCAATATAGCGGCCGCAAGAGCTGAATTTCGTTTGGGCAGTGGAGTTCGGTTCGACAGTCATGCAAATTGTCTTGATGATGTCGAAGCCGACAAACAGCAAGACCGGACAGCGGACGGAAAGGACGAGGAGTTATCAAATTGCCAGCATCTGAGACCAGAACAATATTGCATCTACCAAGTCGATGGTGAAAATAACAAGCTGATAATGACAGTTGGGTACAAGCCACCGCATATACTCCATGTCGAAAATATCCGCTTGGGACTGCGTCCCATGGAATTCTGGAAGGAGATACTGAATGCTAAAACCATTCCCAACGATCTGGAAAAGAAGATAGAGTATGATGCGGCTTTTCTAACCGGTTCCGCTATTGTTCACGCGTATCATGTTATGATAAGGAAGGGACTTGAGTATTCCTATGTGAGCACTGGGCTAGCATTGATCATGTTGCGAGTCCCCTACGACAGTCCGGGTACTCTGTACTACCGTCTCTTTGAGCCTAATAGTGAAATTACTCCACAAGATGACAAAAGACTCACGGCTCCATTAACATCCGTGGCGCGTGTCTTGGGTTTGTGTCTAATGAGCTGTAGCTCGACACTTCGTGATCAGAAATGGCGAGATACGGCAAAAAGGGACCTGCCGATTTGGCCAGCAAGCTTCAATACCACGCCTTTCAGAGCCACGCAAACTGAGTTGAACGCAAGTCCGGCTGCTTTGCGGAATTCTTACACCGCAACCGTCGAGGACACCTCCGCAGAAACCTCGACAACGTGCCAGCCATCCCAATTTTCTATTATGTCGCCGACAGAAGACTGCAGGATGCCGACTCCGACACGTATGCGGCGCCACCTAACCCCGGACGCAGATACCAATACAGGCCCCATGAGACAAAAGCGTCGAATCAGCGAGAATGCTGAGCCATCGGGGATCCAAAAGAACCTTAAAACTAGGGAAAATGACTCCCAAAAAGATACAGCCCAATTTTGTACCCAGCGTTGTTTTCTTGGTCTACAGTATGGGAGAAGTCTGGACGAACAGTGTCCGAACGTGGCGCTGCACCGATTAGGTACAAATGGCGACCACCACCAGATTCTTCCTGGAACGTTGGTCCGAAAAATCGAGAAGCAGCTTAATAAAGAAGTTGGTCATGGGTGCACGTCCATCAGTGGTTGCGCGTCAACCGGCCCACTATTTAAAATTACATCTTCGACACCTGGGTATACTATGGTTGGCAAAGGAGCCTCATGTGATCTGTGGAAGGAAAAGGTCTCTCGTGAAGCAGACATTTACCGCATACTTCACCAAGCGCAGGGATCTGCAGTTCCTGTTGTTCTTGGGACAGTGGATCTGAAAATGACTTACTTTTCGCATGAAGCCGATATTAACCACATGCTCCTCATGGCTTGGGGAGGAGAGCAGATCGAGAATTGTGAGGACAAGTCCTTTAAACGCGAAGTCAAAAGATCTGAAAAGGAGATTCGCTCTCTTGGCGTCATACATCATAATATCCAGCCCCAGAATACGTTGTGGAACCCCGAGCTACGCCGGGCGTTGATTATTGACTTTGATCGTTCGCAACTCGATTCACTTCCAATCGATAAACGGCAATTCTTGATGGGAAAGAAAATCCGCGACCCTTCCGGCCGAAAGCGACCATCTTCAGTTCCACTCGAGTAATAAGTTATATTTCAGCCTGATTTCTCTCACAATTGCTGCCTGGCAAGAATTAGCGGGTTTTCCCGAGCCGTTTGGCAATGGCGCGAGGTTTACCGTTTCTTATAGACACAGCTGATGTGTGCTGCCAGATATCTTATTCTAGACTAGTTGATGGGTGCATATAGTATCAAATTAACTTTCGGGGAATAGAAAACAAAAGGCTCTGTGCTTGAGCAACTCTTTTAGGCTTCTGAATGTGCATATTCCTGTAGATATCTTGAGACATTGGAGTAACAATCGACCTGTATAGACGTGACCAAGATCAGCCGATACTGATTGTCTCAAGATTAAAATATAGCTCCCTGAACAAACAAACTTTACATACATTTATATTTACAAGAAACATACACTAAGCAAGCAGTATAATTTAAGGAATTTGCCATCAGCTGTCATATGTACATCATATGCGCACAAAATTCAGCTATCATTTTGATATTACCGCTGCTTTGGTAACTGCACCTAACACAACTGTTTCCCATCAAGACCCCCAAATCCACCTTCACAGGCAAACATAATTCCTCTGCTCAGGCGCAACATCCCTATCTATACATTCTCAACCTTTAATATATCCTTTTTCTGCTACTACCAATCTTACCTTTCTCTAACCCAAACAGACTATGAATCCTCACCTCTTATCAAAACCTTTAAAAAAGTATAAAAGACAGTCTACTCAGCACAAGACATAGTAGTATAAGTATAAAAAATAACTAAAGAAATAAAGAAAAATTATAATACAGCAGAAGATAACTTTTATAAAGTATTTCAAAGATATACCGAAGTACAAGAGAAATTAGATGATATGGTAGAAAGGTCAACTGAGTCAGCGAAGAGATTTACTGAGGCGTTGAAGAGGTATGAGACAGTATTTGAGGGGTGAGGCGATGACCATTCATGTCACAAGTCTAGGGTGCATTTGTAGTGAGGATTTCTCTATAAAACAATCTCCAATTCAAAACTTTCTTGCACTAACCTCGGGCTGTAACTGATAGTATGAGAGTGTGGTTAACGAAAGGCGAGCATCTCTGCAGCATCTACTCTAAAGCACCGCAATACATTGAGAGCAATGAGAGCAGTCTCAATGAGTACAGGCCTTTATCATGTACTTAGAAATGCATAGTTGGAATACCTTGATTCCCATTACCCCAACATTGCACTCAGGAATCCTCTTAGTCCTGTCGGTGATCACTATAGAACTAGTCCTGCTATTCTTCCGCTTCTTTCCTTACCCACTGTTCCTCCATTTCCTTTTTCTGTGATTCATCAGACTCTTGATGTCCTCCATCTTCTTTCAGCTGTTGCTCATTCACTATTTTTCCTTGCATAATTTCTATCTCGTGCTTCTTGACTTCTTCTCCATGCCTCAAATTCTCTGTTTTGTGCTTCTTGACATTCTCTGTATGCATAAAATTCTCTTCCTATTGCTTCGTACATTTTCTGTCGTGCTTCATGTATTTTCTCCCGTGCTTCATGCAGTTCTTCTTGTGTTTCTTTTTCTCTTTCTTGTGCTCCACTAGCCATTTTCAAGCACATATCAGCGCGTTCCTCTGCTTTCCTGGTTCTTTCCCTCTCTCTGTCCAGTTCTGCCTTGGCTTCGAAGTAGAGAGCCTTGTAATCCAGTGAGCCCTCACAATCCATATTTCAAACGAGGGTGAACGTGAGATTGATCAGAATGGTATCAGTCCGGTAGGGTGAGGTGGATGGTTATTGAAGGTTTGACTACCAAAAACTTTGAAGGGGGGATGGTGGTATATGTAGATGCAATCATTGAGATTGTTTTGCGAGAAAGTGAGCGCTGCTTGAATAGCGGGGAAGTCCGCATGGAAATCGGGATTACATGTATAGTTGATTTTAGGCATAGACCCTGCAGTGCTTTATAGGAATCTTGGCAGAATGAGATGAACATTAGAGACTAGATTACATCAATATTTAAAGAATCAGTAGCATCCATAGCTCTTTCTGCTAGATTTTGACATGGCTGTAACAATCATCACTCATGTGAACACACACGTCACTATCCTGGCTTTGTATTCACGGATTTCTGCTTCAATCATCCGATGCGCCTTTTACTGTCGAATGACGGAAAACAAAGCATTTTCATGACATCAACTTCTATCCATCAATAATCTCATGTTACAAAGCTACATTAATGTTGGGGGTTTTGTTGGCATGTCTATATGGCAGCGCTCGTTCCTGCTCCAGTTAATCAAGCAACAGAATTAGGAATACCAACTGTCAAGGCGATGTCAAACAGACCGTCACTGATAATGTGGCTCTATTCCTGGACTCTGAAACCTCGATTGGTGTTGGCCGTACTTACGGCAGTGATGATGATAGTAGATTGTCACCTCAAACTATCATTAGTCGTAGTTCCACGCCATAAGACCTCAGCTTAACTTGGTTCTTAGTACTCATTAGTCTATCGTACTTCATGAATCATTGGTAAGGCTTTGATAATAACTTATCTTATATCTAATCGATTTAGAATAGAGAGACTATTATGCTGACAGCGGCAAGACCATTCCATAGCAGGGTTCACGAATTTTCATATGATAGAATCGAAAGGCTATTTTATTGGCATCTGCCGCTCTAGGAAAAAAAGTCTGTATTAGAAATGACCCCACAGCAGTGCTGATCTACGGCAAATTCCTATGGCTAATAAAAAACGATAGGATAGTGATCTGGCATTTGCCGGAATAATGCAGGACAAGTGAAGCCTCTAAAATTTTTTATAAGTTCTCCATTGCTCTCAATGTTCCAAAGTTTACCAGGATATACATAGTATTCACAGTAGCAGGCACTTCAGTCACTCTCTGTCTGCTATGGGGCTTGTTATTCCTCATGTGAATCACCCATGCCTGAATTGACATTCTAGTGGCCTTAGAACATGTACATAGATGCTCCAGACATTCCCAGACATTCCCAGACTCACCTCAGTGTCTTCTCCTCGGCCATGTACGATCATTCTTTCAAGCTTGCCGACAGATTTGTGGCCTGATTCGGAATTTCTCTCGTGGGATGAGATCACTCTCGAACACCTTACTCAGATGATCTCAACTGGTTCACCAACAGTGACGATAATGGCTACATAGGCAGGGCATTGTCCGGAAGACTACACCATCAAGTCCGGTGGGGTCCCGAGACGAGTAGCCGATATCTCATAATAAGCCTGACTTTCTCTTCGACGTTTAGACTGTTATCTATTCAATGTTACTAAACGAGGAAGCTTCATTGTCGCTAGGTCCGAGTCTGAAGTAAGACAACCAAAACTGGGCATAAAGCTAGTCTGCACGCTGACATGCCAGAGTCAGAATTACTGACCGACAAAAGAAGGGCACCATCGCAAACCATGATGATTGGTTGGTTCCGTGCAGTGATGCCTACGTGTACAGAAGCTTGGCCTTCTGCACACAGACATTCCAGTATCATCTGGATGATAGACGCCACTGGGCTGAGAATACTCTCCACAAAGAGAGGAGATGCTTTCGTGACATTGCACCCGATCTATGACCAGATGAGCCGTGGTTGATTCGCGATAGCCGAAAGCCACCTCAATTTTTGGATGAGGTCTCAAACAACCAGAGAGAACAACAATTAATCGAGGATCTTTGAAGGGCAGGCTAGAGAGACGTATCAAGACTTGGGCCGAAACAGAACGCTCCCCCCGATGACGACGGATGAGGCCAGGAATATATATTTCTGGTACCACCCGGAGGTGGCACAGGTGTGGAAGAACCTTTTCGAGGGGAAAGACCTGAGCAAGCCGGTATTAACGGTAGGCGAGATCTGGGACCTGAGCCGGGCATCGCGCTCTGTCCCTCACCACTACCGGGCGGCACTCAAACATCCGGAGACACCGCGCGGTTCGGCCAAACGGCAGTGTGGGCCGCGCGACCAGACACACTGGCAACGTGGACACCACCTGCCGAGGACTGTACGGCCTGCTCCTGCAGGATGTATTCGTACCACAAGATCTATTAGACCCCTTTAAGCAAAGGTGTCGACGGGAAAGGACAGACCTAACGGACGTATTCCCGGAACGCCTGTGGAAAGGCCTATATCACCGCATAATCGACTACCCAAAGCTGACCGACCTCTACTGGAAGCTTTTGCTGAACAAGGTGGAAACAGGGGAGCCATGGATGGAACACCATGACTGCCCAAGGTGTCAGACACTGCAAGTTGCGGAACATCTATTTTGACACTGCCCGATCGCAAAGGCCGTATGGGACGTTATCCGCCGCATATGGCGACAGATCACAGATCGGCCGCTGAACCTCCCCACGACGTGGACGGACCTGCTCGTGAAGGGGGTCATGTGGACCGATTCTCGGTTCTTCTTCCGGGAGGTAGATCGAGAACGGTGGCGACTATTGTTTAGAGAAGCCCTGTGGTCGTTGTGGCTCTCCCGGTGCGCCTGAAGCTTCAACGAGGTACCGGACTTCAACGAACAGGAGGCGCGGGGTTCGAACCCTCGGTGGCCGTCGACGCGCAGAGGTGCGCCGCCTCGTAACTCCACGCAATAAAGGAACAAAACGCAAGACCTGGAAACTACATACACACATTGGGTGATTTTCTTCCATACAAAGTGAAACCCCCCCCCAAATATGGTACAATTGGAAGCGAACGAGGAATATAAAGCACCAATGCATCGTTTCCTTCAATAGGTTATGAGACCGGATGAATTTTTTTTACTATCTGTTCTGCCTCAGCTAGGTGGGAAATCTTCGGAACACAGCGCAGACTCTTTTTCAGTACTTTTCATGAAGGATAATTCTTCAAGAAACTTGAAATCCATTCAACAGGTTATGGGCCCGATTCCTGTGTCTCGAATATCTCGTCAGCACAGGATGACTTCAAACCAAAATAACAAAAATGGCGATATCACTTCTCGCGAATAAAGTACCATCTGGAACTGTTAATACCCTCAAAAAGCTCACAATCCCACATGTTTGCTGCTCAGAGACCTCAGAAACGCAAAGGACCTTCGTAATACAACCGATATGGTCTTCTTATCGCTCATGCAAGGCTATATTGGCCCAGAACTATCGCTTTTCTTGCAGAACCCCATCAACTGAAGCCGGTAGAACAACATAGCTTTCTGAAATGAGAATGTGGTATCCAAGTCATCGCCCAGTGCTCCAGATGATTGCGGCACCACAGGGCTTCCAGAAAGCATTGACGCCAATGTATTGAATTCCCATTTATGACACATAAGTTGTGCTTGCGCTGCGCGGACAGCAGAGATTCAAGCACTCCACTGTGCCTTGGAACGACTGTAACGTATCTGCAACGTGTCAGTACACGTTGTGAGGAACTGGGTGGCTATCAAGGATCTCAAGCGCCGGTTAATATATCGTCATCTTATAACCATGAGCTCCAGCTTCTGGACTGCTGGTGTCTTTGACGCCAAGATCTTTGCTTCAGCACAAAGAACGAAGGCATTTACAACAGGGCTAGAGAGCCTTCTTGGCTAACCTTTAGGGGCAAAGAGCCATATTATTCTCTGAGCAAACACTCTGCCGATGATAGGAAGGCAGAAAAAATAAGAAGTGAAAGCGGAATTTCTTCAAAGGAAGATACTGTACAAAAGATACTAGTCATCAGAACTATATTGAACTTTTGAGGACCTTAGGGAATGCTCACACCACAGCCTGAGGGTCATTATACCGCTCTCTTCCTCGAATTAGGCCTTGAGGAAGGGAATGTCTACATCAGTTTTCCGAAACTTCATACATCGATCTCGACCCGAAGACACCCTGTGACGGGCGAAGATGTGTATGGTGAGTCTCAATTGTGACTGAGGTGAGGGTATTATCTCTCCCATTGAACTATTTATACTGGTTTTCTGGTCTTGGGGTCTACATGCATGTGGACGCAAAAGCGTTCTCATTGAGTACTAAATCAACATTATCATCATATCTCAATACAGCGGGAAGGCACGGTTTCAAGTGTTTGTATATGATCCAACGATATCTCAAGGCGCGCGTTGGTGGTTGGAGACCATGCAGGCAAAGATAGCAAAATATCATATATGCCAAAGATTAGAGTTTTGGAGATGCTCCTTCCACGTCAAACTCAGTTGTGCAAAGTAAGAAGGTGTCCTTCAAAGCCTGTAATACATCAACACCTGTAGCCACATATCCAGCGGACAATTGAACTTACCGACAATCTATACTTTTCGTTGATCTCCTGGTAGTCCTCCCCAGCAAGCATATCACAAAAGTGGCGGATAGAAGGATAATGCACGATGGATATCTCATTCCACCAATCCTCCTCCTTTCTCTCCCAGTCTCCTCTTGAGTCCACGGCACTCGTGTTTCCAGACTTTGGCTTTACCACGTTACCCACTATCTTTGCATCTCCGCCTCTCTTTCCAGCCACAGGAATGAAAGACTGCCCATACTGGTAGTAGCTCTTCTTCCCATTTGGGTGGTTGAAGTGTAGCAAATTGAGCATCGTTACAGGCCCCGAATGCTGAGGTATAAGCTTATCCATAAAGTTAAGGAGTTCGGGTGAGAGTTCCAAGCTTTGGGAGGTCGGTTTGCTGCGTGCCTGGTCTAAGGAACCAGTCAATGGGACGGATGAAGCAGTACGCTTAAGGGACTCGTCTCGTGAGGCGTAGGTGGCGAGTAATTTGGAAGGAATTCCCACTGTTACATGGTACTGGGTCTTGATTTGAGATTGAAGGGTAGACGGGATCGGAGGTGAATCCGAAGGCGGTTGGATGAGAACGAGAAGATCCCAAGACGTCTTGGTTAGAATGTCCTGGTCGAGGACTGTGGGACGAATCACGGCATGTCGCGGTCTAGAGCTTACGATCACGGTACGAGAGGAGCGGAGAGAGTTGAGAAAGGTGCTTGTGTCGGTATTGAGTGCAAGCAGGTAGAGTGATGCGACTGGCATATTGGGCTGTGGGTCGTATAGAGGCCAAACAAAGGAGTCAAGGATTATCTATCTAAGGCAATTCCGAAATCACCGCAGAGGTTGGCATCTGCATATGCGGTATATATCAAGAGTTGCCTTATTATCAGAACGACGTTTTAGGTAAAGACAAGGAGATGACGAAGCAATATCCTTAGAAGAGATATGGAGAGGAGAGACGCGGAGATGGCGGAGATGCCTCGGCTGTCGGTCCCCCCCCGCACGTCACGTGGCACCCCACATTCCTGCATTTCTCCATTTGGATAGTTTTATGTGCAACCTGCAAAGCAACTTTATTTGTGAACAGAAACCCCTCGGGATGCCGATATCGGCAGTACTCTATACTTAAGGAGGCTTGTTACAAGCTATCATCGGGGTTGTAAGTCACCTGGAAAAAGCAGATTCCGCCATGCCGTCTCTGGATGGATCCTTTCAGAGAAATATGACGCAGTGGTGGGAGGTCCAACACGCTACGGCTCACTTGGGGGGGGGCTAATACGCCCTGGAAAAGCGGGCAGGAGAGACTCGCAGAGCCTATGATGGCATGGTCGGCAGTTAACAGTTAATGGGAGCCGCAGTTGCACAGGGACTATGTCGGTCAAGCATTGGGGCCATGCCGTGAAGAGGTTTCTCTCCGGGATTCCAGCATTCGGGATGGCTTCTCCGAATGGCGGAGATACGAATAGCCTGTTTTCCTCCTCAACTTCCCCACATCTCCTCCAGTCTTGGCCGCGTGCGGAACAGACTTTATCCTCCACTACGATCGCAAAACAGGCAATTTTGGTTTCGCATAAATACTTGGGGAGCCATGGTCTCTGTCAGCGAAGCAACCCATCTTCACTGGCACAATGAGGGGCCCTACGTTCATCGCCACCCTGAGCTTGCTGTATAGCTGTGTACCAGCAGATGCCAGTCTCACTGTACTCTTCCAGAATGACGGCAACTGGACAACACATGCTGAAAAGCCCAGCGCACTCCTCGTCAACAATGCCTTGACCTACCAAGATGCGCAGGAAACCTGTGCGCAGTACAATGAATCACTTCTTAGCTGCAAAGACTATCCCGACTTCCATTATTCATTCACATACCAACAATATTTGAAGAACATTGGCTCAAACCAGCTCTTCTGGTCTTCTTGCAGCTCAGACCGTCCGACATCTTGGAATGGCGAACTAGCTAATACTTCCTCGCCTGCTGGTCTTCCCTTCCTATGCTCCAATTCCGCGGAGTTCGTCAAGCAGGTGGATACAGATTATTCTCACTTCCCAAGAGTCAATGCTAGCACCAATGGCGTCACCTTCGAGGGTCTTCGCGACCACATGGCATTTCGCTTCATGGGAATCCCCTTCGCCCAGCCCCCCGTGGGAGAACTTCGCTTCAAATATGCCCAAGAATGGGCTGGGAGCTCTTACGTCAACGCCACCAGATACGGCCCTGCATGTATCCAATCTGGCTGGTATGACGGAAACAACTACGGCCTCAACCCCTGGGGAAATAGCGAGGACTGCTTGCATTTGAACGTCTACACCCCTTCTCTTCCATCAGCCAAAAACGAAACAAATTCCTACAGGCCAGTCATGCTCTGGATCCACGGAGGTGGCGAGACTTCAGGAACCGGTGCCGACTCCACCTTCGACGGCGACAGCTTCGTCAGCCGCAACGACGTCGTTCTAGTCACCATAAACTACCGGGTCAACATCTTCGGCTACCTGAGCCTCGACGACTCTACCATCCCCGGGAACGCTCAACTCACTGACAAGATTGAGGCGCTCAAATGGGTCCAGAAATACATCCGAGCCTTTGGCGGAGACCCCAACAACGTGACCATCTTCGGTCAATCCGCCGGTGCTTCGTCCGTCATCGATCTCCTCACTACACCCAAGGCCAACGGCCTTTTCCAAAACGCCATCGCTCAGTCCATCGCCGGCCACGTCGAGACGTCCAACGCTTCAGCTGCCGCTATTCTCCCTTACATCCAGCCTCTCTGCAATAACACCACGGGAACCCAGCGCCTCAAGTGCCTGCAATCCCTCCCAGCTGAAACCCTCCTCAACATCAGCTCCTACGTAACCTGGGACACCGTCATCGACAACCGCTACATCTTCGACTACCCACTCACCCAGATCGCTAAAGGCGTGATCAACAAAGTCAACTTCATTACCGGCTTCATGCCCGAGGAGGCGCAATCCATCCTCCAAACCACCATCTCCCCCAACGCAATAAATTTCACCACCACCCTCCAAACCCTCGTCAGCAGCGGCTCCATCACAAAGTCTGAAGAGGACGCCGTGCTCTCCTCTAACCTCTGGAGAAACTACTCCACTCCCTACAACGCAACCATCCACGTTGACTCACCCGCCGGCATGACCTGCTACTCCAAGGAATTTGCCTCCGTCGGCGCGGCATCCCACGCATACAACAGTCTCTACGTGTACCTGCACCAGCGCGCCTACGGCCTAAACTACTATGACTGGTACGATCTGTGCACGTACCCCGTTGGCAAACCCGACACACCTTACTACAAATGTCACTCTGGAGATCTGTATGAGGTGTTCGGTACATACTATCTATTTGATCTGCCGGTCCGTGCGCCGGAGGATATCTATTACACAAATATGGTGCAGGATATGTGGGCAGCCTTTGCCAGACGCGGAGATCCGAATGTTGACGAGGGGTATCTTCGTGCAAGGGGGTACTTCAGCAGCCTGAAGTTGATGGAGAGGTGGCAGTGGGATGAGTTCAAGCAGGGAAGTGGAAGCAAGAACGTGGCTAATCTCCAGTATCCCGTGCCATTCTACTCGGGATTGCCGTATATGGAAGAATGTGTTGTTTTAGGCCTGGAGCATACCAACTAGAGAGATAGACTGTATTTTGCGAGATATATAATCAAGACAATCATTCTAGCTAATACGCGTTATCTCTTCATACGAACCTCAAATGATGCAACATGGTGATGCTCTGGTGGTAACTCAGTAACCCTCACTGTAACGGCCAGCTACGCCATTTTATAGGCCAGGTCTTTTCTCCTTGATTTGACGGCCAAATAGACTTGAATATCTCTAAATCCATGCTGCGCATTGTCTTATCCTGTTTATATTTCAGCTTGAACTAGTTTTCTGCCTGCATCCCATTGGTCCTATCCCACTCGACCTGCCACACGCCATCTATCTTCCAGTGGTAATTGCCGTCTCTGAGCAGTACATGGCCCGTGATGCCTGGTATTTGCTGATACTACTCAATCTTATCTGATAGGGGGTGCAGTCAGAGCACTCAGAGAGATTTCTCTGTTTTTTAGCCCCGGATGCGCATAAAGATTGCTGTAGCTAGCGCTTTGTTAAATATACTATTAATCATGGTATTCTGAACTGTCTATTTAAAAAGACTGCCGTGCCAGGCTGGGATTATCTGGTGCTTGTATACAGTGAGCTCCTGTGGAGGAAATAGAATCTTATAATTTGAGATCATGACGGGTAGGCAGCTGAGGTGAAGATCCAGTATGTGGAGTACTAGAAAACAGCTTAGAATATTATAAGCAGCTGTCTTAGTTGTGTAGTTCTGGTACTATTACACAATGATCCGCAGTATCTGTAGAATAAGATAGTGGGCTGTCATATTAGTTATCATGTCCGCAGGAAATATTAAAATAATTTACCCCTTCCGCACGAGTTAGTAGGGCTTGTAATTCTGGAACCGGAATCAGGGCCTGTACAGCTATAGTTTAGTTAGTATTAGGCCATGGTGATCCAGGATAGCAGTAAAAAGTTATTATAAATGGTAGGATTCTAGTAGGCAGAGATAGATCAAGGGCAGAAGGGTGTTGAATATAGCTTTAATTGTTAAGAATTAGATAAAAGGGGTTTCTGGGGGGTTCAGAACAAGAATTAATTGTTTTAAAATCTGGAAGGGCTGTAATTAAGTAATAATTAACTATTAAAAGAGTAATATTCTTAATAATACTGGCGGTCCACGCGGCAAGATATCTTAGATTAGTAATCTAGGACCAGGCCTGCAGGTTCTGTGTTGTTATCTTACTTATTAATAAAAATAAAAGTATTTTTAGTTACGCGTGTGGATAGATTTTGATCTTATTCTTTGATAATTGGGTCTGCAGTCACTGGATATATTATTGACAGGAGCTAGGGCCTAGTGTAGTACTAATCTGTAATATCAGATACTTAATCCCTGGTGCTTGACGGAGAATATTCTGTAGAAGATAATCCAGGTATACAGTGAAGAATAGGTCTCTGGAATATTTATAGTAAATAATTCAAGTAGTCTTTACTATGGTAAAATAGATTTATTTCTTTTATGTGATATCTACTTAGTAGATATCAGGATTAGCAGAGAATACTGAAATATAATAGTTTAGATAAGTCCTTACTGGGGTATCTAGCAGGGCCAGTAGATATAATAAATGTAGTAAAAGATGAAGCTGCTCCAAATATACTAATTATTAGAGGAGGAAGATAACCGGGCCCCAATTCTCTTTGTATCCGCGTAGTATGGAAGGGATATTAATATTCTCAGGATGTGTCTTATTAAGATACTTTTCTATGTTGGTTTTACTTAAGTTCAAGGAGGTGGGATCCACGAGGGTAAAATATCTAATATATAGTAAGATAAGAGTAGCATCTAACAACTGAAGTATATGGTGAGGTGGCTCGTCCGAATTCAGGTGGAGAGTAAGATCTTTATAAAAATTTAATGCTGTAATCTGGTTCCACTGGCGGTTCATTTATGATAAAGCCTGCAGGGTTTTCCACGATACATCGCGAACCTAGTTTCCTAATTAGTTGGTTTTGAATGCTAATTGCAGTGTTCTTACTATTCCAGTGATTGAATGCTTTAGCTTCAGGGGTAGACAATCAATGTTCATAGGTCCGTATGATGAGAGTGGAAATGGTGAAATGAGGTAGTGACGGGGTATTGTACACAAAGGACAGCTGTCAGGTGACTATACTTGTCTCTATGGTATCTAATATGTTTGTGCTAGTATTGCTGGTTCACATTAAATTCTTATCAGCCGTAATACCAGGAAGTATGTTATTCTCGTCGATGTTGATATCCAGAGATAGTCAGCCAAATGTTGAGCTGCTGATGGCAGTTCCGTTCCGTTCCTAAAGCAATCTTCTTTCTATAAGCCGAGGTGACACAGCGAACCTCATATCAAAGAACAGTGTCGATGCTGGAAACCAGATAGCATACGTCCATGGTTTGAAGCTTCAACAGCTGCAAGAGACGCTCCTATATTCCAGCAGGACCAGGATAATATATCCAGTTCTGTAATTCCTTTTATAAAGCCTTAACCGCTTTCCTTACCACAGGCGATACGGAAAATACTACCAAACAAGGTTCTTGTGACAATCCACTCTTTGTGGGCGAGGCTGCAAATTCCATTTCTGTGCGTTCCTGCAGGATCCAGCATATGATTTATGCTCCATGCAATCAAGGGACATTGAAATTCCCAAGGAACTGCGGAACTCTTCCAGGAAAGCTAATATGCCTTAACGATAGCTAGCCAAAGCCATCAGTGGACTTATCGAGACTTCAACCAGGTAGACATACTGAATATTAACAAAGGGCTGCAATTCGTGTCTAATAAATTCATCTCGAATTCGGGTCAGCTGACCTATCACTACCACCTCCACCCACCGCATTGACTACAGATCAAGTCCCAGGAACTTTTAATGAGCATCTGCACTAAGCACTGGTCATGTCGGCCGTGTTGACTCGCCTATTATAACAGTACACATCTAATAATCGGTATCATAACCTAGGAGCAAGATAGCGCTCTACAATTACTGCCGTGAGTTCCCCAGAATTCCGGAATCTGAAAATGATACAAATGGAACCTAAGGAGCACCAAGCTTATGCTTGAGCTTAGGGTACCAAAGTGTAACCTATATTGACCTGTTGGACAAGACGAAGGACGCCTCAAATGTCGGTATGCGCTCTTTGTCGACGATAGGGCAAAAACAGGGCCGGGCATAATGCGTAGAGACTGTGGAAGAAATCCAAACGCTTGTTTCTCACGAGAGGGGGCTTATGAGACTGGGTGATGATGTGTCTGATTTATGTTGTTTGTCTTTTGTTGATGATATCTTTGACGGTCGTCTCCCCTTTGTCTTTAAGCAAATACTACGTCTCTCGCCTATAATTATGAAGATCAAGTCTTACGATAAGCATTTATAGCTATCTACACTGTCAAAACCACTCAATGGCCTATAGAATGATTCCTTGGAAGGCTTCGTTTCTCGAGATTCTCCTATGGCATTTCAACACGCCCATGATAGCAACAACCTCCAATTTGTCGGCTTTAGAAGGCCAACATATCTCCGTCCGCAAAGCTTATGGCTTCATTCAATGATCCTTCCACATGCATATATTCAGTGACCGGTTCATTCTGTCTCCCATATCTCCAATGCTCATATTTAATCGAACATGGCTCCATTCCCTTCTCATCGACATCACCCAAGAGACTGGCCTTTCATCACGTCCTGATATCAGCATTCCTAGACTATTCACAATGCCATCCTCTCATTGAATTCGCTCAGTCAATTTTACATCGATATTCCTTGTCTAGATAGTCAATTTTCACTAGCTTGCTATCACCGTCGCATCCAGTGGCCCTCGTTCTCCAGGTATGAAAGTCTCTCTCATTTCTGACTTCAAACTCTTTCTTCTTCTCATCTCTGGCCTTCTTTTCAATCTTGTCTCTTTCAATCAAGAACTTAGAAGAAGAAATAAAAATGGAAATTAAGATCCATAAAAATTTATGTACATACAATCAATAGCATATAGCGAGCCTTGCCCTAACATTGATTAAGGGCTTAGTCCAAGGACTGAGGAGACGGGCGCTAATTTAAATATTGGCTGATAATAAATTGCAGGTAAGTGTTTCCATGCAGATAGTTTGGTTATTCTCTTCGGTCTTTTATAGTAGCGCAAGTTGTTGTCTAATCTTATTTGTTGTTCTTTCTTCTTCACAATGCTGTTCGAGTCAACCGGATGAGACGTATCACATATACTAATATCTAACGTCATAGATCAAGATAGATTTGCCTTACTATACACAGTCAAGCCCAGCAGGGCATAAGAGCCCTAGAATAGGCTTTGTTGTGTGACTCGTCTTCTGATATCTTCTTTAGCCCTAAAAAGGAAAGGGTAAACGGGTCTAAAAAAAATGAGTAGTAAGCACAATTCTTTCCACGGACAAACTGAAGGGTATATATTCTTACATTTACAGTTAGTATATGACAAAGCAAAGTTGGGCATAGTCTTTTGATTTAAATATGAACAATTGTTTATATTTAGATAATCTTCTAGATTATCTATTTAAGATTAAGCCTCTCTTGAGGTTATAAGACCCAAGGTAAGTCTGACAACTCAACTTTCAAAATGCACTCCTCTCGCAAAGCCCAAAATGCCAAAGAGGGCTAAGAACCAATCCAGCATCAATGACTACTTCAAGAGGAAGCAGGATAAGGTCAGTGACCTTAATCCAGCAATCTCTCTTCGAACAAATGTCACTGAGTCTGCTATCAGTGATACTAACTAAGTTTATAGATAATTGACGCTCTAGAAGATGCAGGTATTGTTGTGCCTGCTGGCGTGCTGCCAGTAACCAGACTGCTTACATCAGTACAAAAGCTACGGAAGAAAGAGCTGCGCGATGAACTACACAGATTTTAATCGCTGGAAGATGAATACCGCGAGCATTATAACGAGAAAAAAGATGAGTGGACTTCCTCACTGAAGGTATTAGTCAATCAACTCACTGCTCACGACGAGTCCTACAAGACAGAGATCGAGCCCGATGAGAAACTGTTGACTGATGATGGTGTGAACATCAAGGCTATTGTTTTTTAAAGACCAAGACTTCATGAGCAAAAAACTAGGCATGTTAGGAGCATATTAATAGACAAAGAACAAGAAAAATAATAGTTCACAGGCTGCTAGCAGGCTGCATACACTTACTCATATTCGCTTAATGTAGCCATGTTTTTGCTTTTACCTTCCTACATCATGGCAAGCGTTTCTTTTTGTATTCTACATGTGTCTACAAGTATTTACTGCAAGTTTAAAGGATTTGAAGGCGTTCAGAGCCATATTCTTTGCTTCAAACAGTGAAGCACCTACATAGCTAGCATCTAACTAAGCCGGCTCGATCGGGTATAAGAATATGAATTAAATTGAGTTAAGTTCATCGGCAGCACCATGGCTGGCAAACCGTCGGAAGAACTGGCAGTTGAACTAAAGTGGTCCGTTACAGATCTACATAGTAAAGAGCCGGGCGTAAATCCAATCAAGGCACTCGAAGGGATAGATTTAACCGTAACCTAAGAGCTGAAGAATGTAAAACAAAAAAAAAAAAAAAAAAAAAAAAAAAAAAAAAAAAAAAAAAAAAAGAAAAAAAAAAAAAAAAAAAAAAAAAAAAAAAAAAAAAGGAACAAAGGATAGTATGAGACTGGAGGTAGAGGCCACAAAAGGCAGGGCATCAGGTGATGTGTCCACAGTAAGAGGACTTCATCTTTTGCTTCTCGATCTTCCGTCTCAGCTACCATCTCCATCATCCTCATCACCCCCACCATCACAACCACCACCACCACCACTACTACTACTACTACTACTACTACTACTACTACTACTACTACTACTACTACTACTATCACTACTACTACCACCACCACCACCACCACCATGCCTGGTAAGTACCACCTCAGACAATTGCACATCAATACACACCTATAAACCCATACTTACTGTGTTCTTTTAGCCAACGAAGTGAGTATACTCTCAAATACTCTATGTTACTTATTCCCTCGCTTTCACTCGTCAACAACAGCACCCAGTCAACTAGTATACAATACCTCACACTATCATCACAACATAGCTCATTTGTGTTATACTTGCTCCTGATACTAACTAAAGTTCATTGCAGGAGCAGCAGCAGC